GGTTCAACATCAAAATAATAAATACAGTATATAGTCACCTTTTGAAAGCCTGAATGTTTTCCTTGAGCGTTACCTCGTCATCAGCACCTCCCGAATAGTATTCCAGAGCCAAAACACTCATCCTCTCTTTAGAAAGTTCTTCAAAATCGCTTAGACACATAGGTTCGCGAGATCTCTGCTCTGATGTCGCCATTTTGTTGTTTTGCCACAGGAAGCCCGAGACAGCATATCTATGTATTCGAGTTTGGTTAATATTTTTATTCAGTAAATTTTTGGCTCTTTATTTTAAAAATGCCATTTACACTACAAGAGTTTTGAGAACAAACAGAATATTCAGACATAAATAAAACTTAAAAACACGGTGGCGAGATCCGAGAAAGTCGAGAACTCATAAAGTCTTTCGACGCTCTTAGAGCGTTTACTCGGTTCACTCCATGTGGCAAAAGCTGGACCGACACTGCTTAATGGCGAGAGTACATCATACAGTCACTGTCTACACTGTGACGACCGGTAATACAGAATTGGATGTTGTATTTAATGTTAACAGTTTACAACAATGAACTGTTACAGCTGACCATTTTTCATAACTCGGTGTTTATATGCTAATATGTAAATTACTGGAAGTCTAATAAATATAAGTGTTTGAGATAAAGCGTTTTTCCGTGCTAAGAACTGAATTTTATCTTCATATGTCAAACTAGCGCCAATTTTTAGTCTGGATTACAAGCCATAACGTACTTCCATTTTTTAAAGATTACATTGGCATTGTTTTGTTATAAGAGATGCTGGAATATCAGCTAACGAGGAACACCCTAGAAAACGAAAAAGAAGAAAACTTTAATGTCTTACTTTCCTGCTGCGTCTTTTCTTTTCTGTCCTTTTCTTTTCCAACCCTGCTTCGCAAGCTCAGTACTATTTCAGCTTTCCTACTTTCAGGTTTCCTGTGCGCACACAGGAATACCGCATGCCCTAGGAAGCCTTAAAAAAGGAGTAGCCTACAGAGGTGGCTGTTCATTTCCCATCGGTCAAAGCAAGAATTCGTAGATTTGACAAACATCGCAAAATTGATGATATTAGTTATGTGATCTATTCTCAAGACCATTCAAAAACATGAAAAATGCACAATATTCGTACCTGAGAGAATCATTGCCGTCTTTAGTTCAGTGCGTAGAATCTCAAGAGTTTTGTGAACACCTTCCTCCCCCTGTAATACCAATCGATGGAATTGAAACTATACTGTATTTTAATGGAAACGAGTGATGAGAAATTGAAAATTATTTTAACCCATTGCCTCGACGATGACGGTCCGTTTCACTAAATGTTCAGTCAGGATAACGCAAAAACGTCGTTCGGATCACTTAGGAAATTTATTTTGGCTCTCYATTAATTTCAAATAATTTGATTGAATATATGACTGCGATTAAAGCTATACGAAAATACTATCATCGTCAAGAAATTAAAAAAGTTAATCCCATATTCACCTGGCACGCTAGTCCCCATAACACAGGCCGACCAATAAACACAGCACGTGCACCCAGTGCTAATGCCTTCAATACATCAGTACCAAGCCTCACTCCACCATCCAAGTATACCTCAACTTGACCATTGACAGCTGACACTACTTCTGGTAGAGCATCAATCTATTGATGGATCAGTGTTTGATTATTTCTTTCTTACAGCTAAAATTGAACTTTTGTGCTTTACTTACAGTTGCTAGTACTCCATCCAACTGTCTACCACCATGGTTTGACACTATGATGGCATCTGCACCATGTTGAACAGCAAGTTTAGCATCTTCTGCTGTAAGGATACCTTTGAGGATAACTGG